TGCATGGTAACAAAAACTTGTTATTCAAAGCTTCAATGGTCCCTCCTATATTATTTGTAATGAAAATTTTATCAAGCAAATTGTCGGGATCATTGGAATTTTTTTGCTCGAGAAAGACATTTTGTCACAGGAATGATTTGACTTAGAGTTGGATCTGGAGTGATTCCAACGATTAAGAAGGCAAAAGGGACATATTTTGTTGCATGCAGAAGCTAATCTATGCATATGGACAAGAACAACATTTCATGTGAGTCACATCCACATTTTCCAGAGCGTAATTATACTTTGCATTTTTTACCTAGAGTCTGATCTCACTTTCAACCATTTCAACAAAGAGTTTCTCATGTTACCCATCTTAACTACTTGTATTGGTTTAGTATTGTCCCAAAATTAGTAGATGTATGTTAGAGTAAGTGGAACAAAATCACACTATTTAGGTAGACAAAGAGACACAAATTTCTATCCATTTTTGTAATTAATTTTTGCAATTTTGGACAGTGTGAAGCTAATAACCATGCTCGGAGGTGAAGTATTTGAAACATGACATTACCCTTGTATAAAAATCGAATCTTGCATATAATAGTTTTGTTTGCGTTAATGTTTATTATTTTCGACTTTCTTTTTTATCGTCGATATTAAATTTTTTTCAGGCATTACAATGGAAAACTCTTCCAAAACGTCAAATATATGACCAAAAATTCTGATTTTTTACTGTTTGTTTAACATGATAATGCTAGAAATTGTTAGAAACTAAATTCTTGGGTCCACAAAATTTTATAGTAACATGCAGTTCTTATTTTCTGTAAATTGTGTAGGAAAATAATTTTTTTTTCGGGAAAGTTGAACAAACATATCTAGTTTCTCACTTTGTCCATGTTTCCTCTCACGTTGGTTATTATCTATTGGATATAAATCTCTCTAATATAGATAAGGGTAGTATTGATATTTAAATAAATTTTCTTGTAACTTTCCTACTTTTCAAACTATAGAAAGAAAATTTTTAAATATTTTCTTGTACATATTTTATGCTAATCAAATAAATGAAAGAAAATATATTTTCTTTTCTTTTTTTTTCACTTTACTTTCTACCACTTTCACTTTCTATCATTATTTTCTTTCTAATCAAACCAACCCTAAATGGGTAAAATTTTAGGTTGGAGGGCAATGTTATGTTATAAAAGGCTCTTGTTCAATAAACAAAGCTCTTAATAGATCAATTGTTTTGAGATCAAAATTATATTCCTCTTGCATAAAAAAAGCACCATATTTTTATTTTACCAAAAAACTTATTTGAGTTACTTCAATGACCTATTCTTTAAATAATACTATATTTAGTTCCAATGTATCCCTACATATCTGAAATATACCAATCATTTATAATTTTCATGTCCTAAAGATGTAAAAAATATTTTCAGAATATTTGAGATGTATTTGGCTGCATCGATTTGATACTTATTAAACTGTATCTAATGCATATTCATATTTGATACATATATTCTGGCCTTGCGAATGTATATGTGCTTCACGTATATGTGCTTCACAACTTGATGAAAAGTTATTTGGATAAAAATATAGAAGATAATTAACTTCTTGTCAAATGAAGATAGATTCATGATAAAGTGTACACTTGCTTATGATGAACTTTACATCGAACCTTAGTTTGTACAGAGTTATACAGGAACTTGCATTAGTTGCATTAGTTCTACGGCATCGAAGAAGTGCCAACGAGGTCCAGTTGTGAAGGACATACGTGATTAGATTTGTATGTGTAAATATAAAACTGTTTCGTATATGGAACAACAACATCAAATATTGCAGCAGTTAAACTGAGTTTGTACAAGTTTATTAATAATGAAAGCACTAAGTACATCATAAGACTTATATCCAGCACTTGGACACTGTTTGTGTTTTTTGCAGGAATGGAGAAGAGAGCTACAAGCATGTGTTTTTTGATTGCCCTTTTACAGCTAGGATATGGAGAGCAGTGATACAAAGAAGTGGGAAACCCTGGTACTCTACTCCTTTGCAATCCTTCATTTCAGATTCATCAAGGGATTGGAAGGGTAAGTCTCTAAAAGTGAAAATTTTGAAAGTAAGCCACAATATAACTGCTATAATCGCATGAAAATCGCAATGAGTTGTTTTTTTTTTTTTGCCACAATTCATATCAGGATAAAAGAATAGTTACATTTTCAAACCACAACCTTATTGACCTAGTTGGATCATCGTTCCCACACAAGAATAACACAATCATTCTACTGCATATCACAATCATAAAACACAATGCAACTACCAAGATAAACATTACAACTAAGAGAAAAGAACAAGGGCAAAAACAGATCACCACAGCACCAAAGTAGAGTCTGGCTATTATTCAGTTCAAGGTTCTTACATCCAGCTATATTTCTCATTTTGAGGTGATGGTGCTCGAAATCAATTAGATCCAACTATAAAATAGTTTGGGGTATGGCCCTTAGAGTACATGAATGTGTGTATGATGGAAAATGTGTTACGCACTAAATGCAAGATGAAAACAGCAATGTGAGTGGTTCACCCTAACCAAAAGATTAAGGTTACTTCCACTATAATGTAGATTCTTGCTCCTTGGGAATTGTATTACGTGGGGAAGAATATTTATGTTACAAGGTATTTGGCTGGGAGCCTTTTAAAGAATATTGCCTAGGTTCAGGCTAAGTCCCCCTTCTCTGTGGCGTCGTTAGCAATTTATACATCTCATCATTAGGGTTTCGTGGTGATTTCTTTTTTGACTAATTATGTGGTCCTCCCGTCATTTGTCATGTTGTTGAGTCTATCATTCCTAACGCTTTCTTACAACTACTACTCCTCGAATGGGATATGTGAGTCATCTCCACTACCGACGGATATTCGTTCGTTAGGCTTATTAGGTACTCTCCCATGTCCACGTGTCACAGTACAATTTTTGGTGAATAGCTTGGTGTCATGCTCTCAATTCCCAAACCGGTATCTGTACCGAGCTCGCCAATACCGAACTGCCACATATTCTGAGCTGGTTTGTTGCAGACTTCTATGGGGCTGGGCCACAGTCCAGCTCGAGCCCAATGAACACTGTGTAGACGAGAAGCTTAAGTCTTTTTAAATGAACCCGAAGGGTTTTAGACACTGGAAGAGGTACAGACAAAAATCCATAGTTATCATGAGGTATGCCAAAATAGATTATCCATCAGTTAAACAACTCTTATACAAGCATTCAAACTAAATCTTGCATTCTATGGTAATCTGTTGAGGCTGCGAGAAAGCCAATTGGGAGTCATCCATTAACTAATTGGATGAGACAAAGGTAGGCCCAATTCTGAAAAATGTAGGACGAGGAAACATGACAGAGGCCAGAGTACTGACATTTTTGGTCATATTGTTTGACTTTGGTAGTGTTGTAATGCAGGATTACTTTTTCGAGTTAATAGTTATGCCTCAAATCAAACATTCCACAAAGAAAAACACTCATAATCATGGCCAGAAGGAATTACTAATTATTAGTCGCCCCTACAAAAAAAAAACGTGAAATATAAAAAAAATGTAATTCAAAAAAGGTACACCACTATCGAAAAAATGGACATGAAGTGGTAACATAACACTCAAAAGTATTATTAAATAATATGCTCAGTCTGTGAATCATCTAACTTCACATTTTGTACTTACCCAAAAATAAAAAACTTCACCTTTTGTTTTTACTATACTATGATTATTGGAACTCCCACTCCTTATTGGTTACACCTAAGGCACCAATTTGTCCAAGATTTAGTTCCCCCCTTTGGATAAGGATGAATTATATCACCTAGTGACTCTTACTGTTCTAATAACCGCCACATTCAATTACTATCACATCGGATTAAATGAGATATTTGGCATTATGATTGGCTAGTGATATCACGTGTTAATAAAGGCATAACATCCCCATTGCAATGAATACTTTCTCTACTTCCACAACAAATCTTGGGTCTTGTTGAAGGTCACTGCACTATATTAATTGCTGAGTACAAAATTTTTACAGAGTTCATGACCACAAGGGCACCATTTACTTTTCTAGAATCCACAACTCATTAGCTCTCGAACAAAATTGCAGGCTGGCTGCATGTCACGCTTGAGTGATACCCTTTTTCACGAGCATATCATATACTCTATCCACCTTGTTTGGATCAAGGTTGAACATGCAATGCGCCTCGGATTTCTTGGTAATATTGCCCTTTAAAATCCCCATTGACATGGCTTCCAACAGGCTCAGATAATGTGTTGGTAGAATCTTGATTTCGCCACACAGCTGTTTTTCCTGCTCGTACAAACCACAACACACTATCGAAGATTAATATGAATATGAATCAACAAATAGTACAGAAACAGAACATCTACTAGATATGGTTTCATCTTTCTACCCCCCAACCCCAAAAATGCTATTGAAATTTAATCTGTCATAACTTAGACTAAAACTTCAAAAAAACACTTTGCTTCCAAAAGTTATTTACGGTATCATTATTGAAACCCTACTCCCATCCACAAACATCATATTGGAGTTAAACCAGTCATAAAGACACTTTGCTCATTCGTGACATTGTCAATTGGGGTCTAGACCACTATAATATCCAATAATTACCCAGAAAAGCATTGTATCAGAGTCCCAAAGAAGGAGCAAACAACTTTAGGTTGTAGACATAGAAAGTGCAAACAGCATTCTTACAGCTTCAGAGAGTAAATTAGCTCCCACAAAACCCGTGACATCCCAATTGTTTAAGGTGTTTGAAATAGCTAGTCCTGCAGTTGTTGAAGAAGAGTCCTTGCCACCATAATCTATATCTGTGACACCTCCCTGAGCACTGCTACCAAGTTCTCCTTTGAGATTATTTGCCCTCTGGAGGAATTTACCACTCAGACTAGCCTGGGAACTCTCCTTCACTCCACGGGAATTTTCTTCAGCTTCCTTCTTTCTCTTCTGCTCAATAAATCTTTCAGCCTCAGCAGATGTACAGCAGCCAGCAGCTCGAGCATCCTTCAAAATTATGGTTATCGATATACTAGCTACGGGACAAATAATATATATACACAAAAAAGTAGAGGTACACAATAAAAACGTAGTATACATTTGTAAGACAATTTTTTGGATCCCAACCAACGTAAGAAACGACATCCAACAACAGACTATAGACACCTTTGCTTGACCAAAAAAGAAAATCACGACAAATACCTCAATAAGTCAAAACAATCATATAACTGAAGGTGCTTAGGTCAGTCCCAAGGAATTTTTTCAAAGAAAGAAATCATGACCAAAAGTTTATTCATCCATTTGTGGACAACAGATTTTGGTCCCCTTATTCAAACTAGTGTTACCACCTACATGAGGACTACTAGGAAACCCAACCAGTTCTAACTCCACATTAAGGCAGTAATTCCAGTATGACCAGAATCCGTGAAATTCAAAAATTACATTATGGGCTAGGAAGGAACCAAAAAAAGAGATCGCTAAAGAACATCAGTCAGGTGACTATGACAAATAAGAATAAAAAACAATATTCAGAAGGCACGAATATGATTTTTTTCTTTTCAAGAAATCGTACATTCATAGTGTCAAATTACTGAGAGAACATGGAAAACACACAGGAAGTAAACTTCTGAGTACTAGTACAAAGACAAATATTTGGCCTAATACAGTAGGAACAGGTGATATAGTACAAATGAATAACAAGCATATGAGCAAGGCAGGGCAGACACCAGCATTAAAATTCTAGGTGAATGAGCTTGCCAGACCTTCATAAATTATTAAAAAAATCATTTTTATTTCAAATGAAATTTCAGAATTGTAGTCTCATAAATATATTGTTACCACAAGTGATAGTACAAAGTTATCTGCAGACCAATACGCGAAACACCTAAGTCTATCACAAGAAATGTTTTTTGAAGCTGAGTAATATGTTCATTAGCATTAATTGAATTTTTTACTCTTGTAGAACTAGATCGGTGGACTCTAGTTTCCACAATTGATGAAGCAGTATATAGACATGAAATATGCGAGGAAAACTGTCAGGCATGATCAAACCTGAAGATCTTGTATTCTTTTCAAAATCTGGCGCTCCTCAATTAGACTCCTCAGCAATGCTTCATGCTCCTCTTTTGAATGAAATCGCATGAACACCCTGTACCGCTGACATATTTCTCTCTCTACTGGTGAGAGGACTTTCTCTAAAGGGTCAGGGTGAAGTAAATTTCTTTCCAGTATAAAATCCTTCCGCCGTTTCCTCTCATCAAGCCTGCCGAAAATGCCCAATATGTTTGACACATGGATAAAATGAAAGAAAATGATTGGATGTGAACAGCATGACATTTACTTCCACTATTCAATATATGGTCACCAGAAGGTCCAGATAAGGCACAGTTTGTGAACCTTATCAACATACGAATGTTCAACACATACTCATTTGACAATTCTTCAATCATAAGATCCTACAAAATGGGTCGAGCCCACATAAACCTTAGACCACCTCCCAAACCCACCCAACAATACAGAGAAAGAAAACAGAATATCTGAATTTCTACGAGCTCCAACAATCATACTATTGTAAGATACAAAATGCTTTTCCAATTGCAAAGACAGCTGGTGCAAGATTGACAAACTTAAGACATTGAAGCCATTAGAATGCATACACATTGATTATTATGTGCATGGAAATATGCATTCACAAATTCCTCCTTGCGACCTACTATGTCATATATCCCTCTTAAAGCTAACGTGAACTGGTTTCCATTCTTATAGATGATTTACAGGATTTCAATCTTAAACAGGACAAAAAAGACACATGACAATCTTATGCGGCAAGCCTCTATCATTGAAAAGTGACGTAAGAAGGGAATCAGAGAAACACATGAAGGTAGTATGGGAACTCTAGCAAATCAGTAGTCCAGTACCAAACCCTCTGTCCGAGAGGCGAGCACATGGCATGGCTTGCATTAATATACAGTACACAGGCCCCGCATTATATATTATAGAGATGAATTTAAAGAGTCAGACAATCAACATCTGCATGTATAGTTAACATAAAAGGTAATCAAAGATTTTCAACTATAGGCATATTTGTTCTGGACTGCCTTGAAATTGTAGCAATCATAAAATTTGTGTTCAAACTCTTATATTAGGGCGCTGATATCCCAGGGACTAAAATAAGAATCTCCAACCAAGGTTTGGGAGTGAGTTTCCCCTTAAACACCAGTCCTCTCAGCCAGATGGCAGACCATCAGATTGTTTCATCCCACCACCTATCTACAAATTGTAAACATGGACCCTTTGATAGCCTCAGCTATATCATGATTTCTCACATATAAAAGTAACAGGAAGAAAAGGAACAGGAAAAGGAAACTACAACTGAATGAACTGATTACCTTTTTGAGTATATTCGCAAGACTCGCAGTTTCAGTCCACGTTCAGCATCAGTGTCTGTATCCTTAAATTCCATGTCCGCCAGTAACTGCTCGGCATCATTATCATATTCAATTTCAAACTCCCGCCTCTTAGAATTATAGCCACTTAATTCTGTCATAGAAGGCCCCTCATCCACTGAAGTCCTAGGTTTTTTCTCTCCAACGGTTCTGTCTGCATAAGCATCTGAAAACATCATAGAGAAGACACTCATAGTCCCAACCATTAATAGTGTAAGAAGATGTGTCCCAACATCATCTAAGAAGATGACATATAGCTTCTAAACAAACTCACTACCCATAAATGTCACAAGTTGGATTCAAAGGCAGAGACGGAACCAGGATTTATTATTGGGGGGGCCAAAATCTAGTCATAGAAACTCATACCAACAACGTGGATTATGTTTATACTATTAAAATATTCAAATTCATAATTTAAAAAAAAAATAAATCAGATAAAATAATGTATATTCCATATAAATAAAGTTATTGATAAAAATGAAAATAAATATAGAAATATGGAATACTAATCTACTAAATCGATTCACAAAAACAACTTGATTCGATTCCCTTTGCCTGTTAGTTTGTTCTTCAATGCACGAATTAGTGTCTATTGAAGGGCACGAATCAATGTGCATTAAAACTCCTTGTACTTCTACCATGTACACCCCTTCTCTCTGGCAATGGTTTAAGGTTTTTAGTTTTTGATTTGTAAACAAATTAGAACTCTTCTATTACTTTATTTGGGATTGGGGCATATTAGGAAAGTACTTTTTTCTTATGGAGACTTACTAACCGAGAGTTGTATTGGTGAACAAGTTTTCCATTATTTTATTAAGATTTTTGGTAAACTTTGGATTGTAGTATTATTTTAGTACTTTCTTACTTACCAAGAAAAACTTGCAATGGGAACAAATATTATTTTATCAAGTTAAAGAATATTTTATAAAGCTTTGCAGTTGTGCAACATTTAAAGCGGCAAAATTTGAGTTTGAGTGGGGGGGCCTATGCATTGTGTGATGGGTGCTGATTTTGGAATACAGTAGACTATGCATGGGGTTATGCATAGGATAGGGGGGTCATGGTCCCCTTAGGCCCCTCTTTAGTTCCTCGGAGGATGTGGGAACTCAAAACCAATCCCTGATTCCATCAGCTTTTTGGTGGGGTAGGGCGTGGCATGTCTTTTTTCTGGTGAACCCCGCCCCTAGGCTTCGTTCCCTTCCCATTCAAATACTCACCCCTCTCTCAGATCTTCAAGAGGCTCAAACTTGAGCCAAAAAATACTGAGTATTTGAATTGGAATTTGGTTCGATTATAAGTTAGTGCATCCAAATCCAAGACGGACTAATTAAACATGGGTTATATCGAATAATGAAATTATTATGTCGTTCCACCAAAAACATAATCATAAGAACTTATATTTTTCAAATGGGATTATCGGATTGAAGTCACTCAAAATTCAGATCATCTCAAATATAAGCAGATCGTACGATTCAATTCAGATTCAAAAACTAGCATACTGCAGTCAATCCCATAATTTTATACAAGACCGTTGTGGGAAACATGATACATTCTTTCAGTTCTTTTATAGAGGCATAATTTAATTTTCACATGTTACACATTGGAGTAGATTCACCATTGACACCCACCCGGAAAGGGAAATGCCAATCAAAATTAAAGGATGTAAACCAGAACATAGGGAATAGAATTGGATCGCGAATGGACAAAAATTAATATTGGAGCAGCCAGATTAAAAAATAAACCCAAATAAAAAAGTCGATGCACAACCAAATTTATGGCACTCAAAAAAATGAGTCCTACAATATTTTTTGGCTTAAAATGCAATCCATAAGCAGATAATACCTTCCGCTTTGACACCATCATGACAATCCTTATTCTGTACCATGCTGGATGCTCCTTTAACTGCACCAATGGAGGTGTTACTGCTGCTATAACCTGCACTGGCACCTACCTCTGATGTAAAAATGGAAAATATGTTAAGAAAGCTCTATGCATATAATTCCTTTTATGGGGCAGAGATAGCTTGACAAGCACAAACATTTCTCAAAAAAAATAAATAAATAAAATACTGGTTGTCATATACCAGAAATTAAGCTAGATGAGGATTGACATGCAGGTCCTTCTTTGCTTCCATCTTCAACCCTGACCAACCAAGTTCAAAAGTGTGAGCTAAAGTATATCAAAGAGCCACATTGAAAAAAATAATAGAATGGAAAAGCTAGTCATACTTGATTCTTGCGGAGACTGAAGGCTCTTCTTTCACAGCAAGTTCTCCAAGGGTTGGAAATCCTGAGGAAATTCCAGTGCAATGTAACATAAGAGCATACATTTGTACACGTGTTCACACACAAAAAGATAGCATACAGACGTCGAATCAGAGTAATAAAATGTCATAAGAGAAATAAACAGATATCTTTTTTCAAATAAAGTAAAACCAAGCTACTACTGGTGAAGTGAAAGAAACATGATAACATCTATCATTTGCATTTGGCTAAAAGCAGACAGCCATTTGCATGAACTATCTTGATGAGCCACATTTATTACAGAATTAATAACAAACTAATCACTCAGGTAATCCGTGACTACTCACCTTTTTTGGCTTCACCATGCCCTCTAGCCATAGCCAGGAGTTCCTCTCTATTTTTTCCCATAACATGAGACATGTCCTAAAGAAACACAGCATGAGCAATATAGCTAAAGAAACCACTTCATATTGAGACCTTTAAAAAGACAAAAGAAGGAAGTCATACTGGAACAGGAAAGCACGGTGAGTTCATGTATATATAATTATAGTGGTCGATACATTGCGATCTAACTTTTGTCCCAACATGCTCTGAAACTTCACTCCAGTTTCCCAGTCCATACATTTCAATTCCCTACAGAAAGGAAGTAAAAATATCAGGAAAGCTTCCAGAGAGTCAGAAACATGCCATACTCAACCCAAACGACATGCAGATTAACAAGGAATATCTACAGGAACAATAAGTAGATAAATTATATATAATACATTTGAGAATCTCAACTTCAATACTTTGATTATATAGGAATACCTCCAGGAGTAATATCTCCTCATCTGCATTCCATTCGGGACAAATGAGCGGGAATGACAAATTATCCTGTGCAAAGCAAAAGCCTTTGAAGAATATCACAAGTATAACTAAGGCAATACTGACAATTGAGTTACATCATAAAAGGCTTATAAGCTGTAGAAAAAGTAACAAAGCAAATGAAGTAAATTATTGACAATTACATGATTAAGAGGGAGTAAAGTTTGTCATATGGGAGCAATATGCAGATTAAAAATCGAGTCAAAGCCTAATCCTTACAGTTGGCTCAACAGACATGCACGCAATTCCCTTCTATAAAGTTGTATCTCAGAATCTGCCATTAAGTGGTTATGTATCTTCTTACAAATTTGACTTGTCCTTGAAGTGCATGAACAAAATCCACATCACAAAATCCACAGTGCGGAGACAGTCTATACTTCATCCAATTGAATTTCTCAGAAAATTCCTAATCTTGCCATTATCAATAATAGCTACCTAACCAGATGAATTCATTAATGTTGCGGTCTCTTGTCTTTCCAGTCTTCCATGTCAGATTCCTCACTTAATTTCTATGTATGACCAAATTGGTGGCAAAAGTTGAAGTTAATTCCAAATTGGAAAAACAAAAGCCATTACCCAGTTTAGTTCCCCCTTATGGAGGCAGCTGAAAGGAGCAAAAATTGACTCAACCATTTATAATATTTGCGCAAAAGGAACCTGCATCCTCAAGTCCCACTAACTACCTCACTCTAGCCATCATATATATACTTTTCATGTATAGCAATGGATCTAGCCATCATATATCACACGACCAAACGTTTAGGTGCTTGTCATAAATAGAAATTAGACCAGTAAAAGTAAAATGAAATAAGGAAAAGGGAGGGCAATAAATGCAAACATGGTGACTTGTATGGTGGCCACTTAACTCTGACCATACTAGACAAAAGATATAGAACTGATTTTTTTCCCAGGAAAAAGAAAATAGAGTATATGTTTGAATGAGGATACTAACCATAACTCTATATGGATGATTGCTTTTGTGGGGATGAATCTCAGCTCCAACAGAGAAGCACTCCACACAAAGGTCAAAATCAGAACACATTGCACACTTAATACGTATCTTTCCTGAGATATCTTTGTTGCAATAATTGCAGTGGTATAAAGCCTTTCTCCCTTCACTCATCCCTTGACCTACCATAAATGTAAGACAAATTGGAATTTATAGAGAAGACAGTAGATTAACAGAAAGCAAATCATGTATTCTTAATTGCAAAACTCATTTACAGCAAAATGGGAAAAAAAAAATTACGATAACATAAAACCTCAGCAGTGCACTGTGGATTGTGTTTGTGCGTGTGGGTGTACGTATTCTTCTGAGTTATTTTTTTTCTTACTCTAACGGGGATTTAACAAGAACAGAAACACATTTGGCAATGAGAACACCCCCCCTCCTTTTCTTACTCTGTTTAATGGATTTGAAAACATAATTCTACATTAAAGAGTAAAGACACAATACCTGCAGTTGCAGCATCCAAATTCTCTACATTTGCAGCACTCTTTTTTCTCTTCGATCGACTGGAATTATAACGGAAAATAACAAGAATATAACACAGAAAAATAAATTAAAAGGAGAAGAAAAAAAAACCCAGAAGCAGAATCGCCTCTAAATTTGGTAACCTCAACTCCATTAACAACAATTGCATGCATGCAATGCCAGATATATATGAACATACTCGAGAAAAAATGATTGAGAACAACTTCTTGAAACAATCGGCCTTATATGCCAACCTATATCTGTATAGTGAGAGAAAGAAAAGAAGAAAGATTGTGAATTTGAACGGACCTTTGCGTGGGATCATCGTCGGCGGAGTTAGCAACAGCGCGTGACCGACCCATTTGATAGGAATTGGACCCTGGCTAGGGCTTGATTGTGGGGGGAGATAGGAGAAAATTTGAAAACAGCTATGGTAAAATTATGAAACCCTAGAATTTTCTAACATGCAGAGCAATTGCTATCTTACATAAGGGACGAGTTGCTGTCAGCAACACTTCACTTTGCCCCGTCATAACTGATAGCAAGATTCAACAAGGGACGAGTGTGAATATAAAATTTTATTTTTGTGCATTATTTTAATCATTTAAAAAATAAAAAATATGTCGTCGACCTATTTCAAAAATATAAAGAAAGTGAATAAAAAATTTGATACTAAAAATATTCTGAAATAATTATATAAATGCGTCAAAATATTCTAAAATATCTCAATTAATTTTAAGTCAGAAAGTGTAGGAATAATATTCTAAATGTGAGATATCTATATAATTAAGTGATAAATTGAAGGCGGTTTAGGTGTAGCTTACCCACCTAATTTTAGAGGACAAACTGACGACTATTAGTTTTAGGTATACATTGATACAAATTTATATCTTTAAGGGTATAAATTAAGGTTTGAGAGATTTTTCGGGTGTAATTTATAATTAACCTTATTCTTTTTCTAAAAACAAATTTCTCGCCCATAACTTTCTATATTTTGCAATTCACACCCAAAATATTTAGGATAAATTACACAAGATCCCTCGTACTTAGGCATGTCATCACCCTAGACTTTTATGAATTGCACTTAATCTCCTAACTTATGAACAAATTGAAATTATTACAAAATCTGTTTATTTTAACGTCACACTAATGACACACGCTAATTAAGCATGTTTATAAAATAAATATATTTTTTTTCTAAATTAAAAAATAAATTACTAATTTTACCCTTCATCTTACTCTCTCTCACATCTCTCTTTCTCCGTCCAAACCTGTAAATTCATTTTTAACCTATCAAACGACTTACTTCTTCAAATCTAAGGTCATTTTTGAACTCTTTAACCCCAAATTAGTTAGACCAAACCCCTACTTTGAAGCTTTAACAAGTTTTCTGAAATTTTAATTTTCAAGTTTCCAAACCCAAGTGAGTTTCTTCACCACATACCCCTCCCTTCCCCCCCATAACTTCCAAGCACTCCAATATACTACAATCTTAAAGCACAACTCAAGCTTCAATTGAGAAAGAAATGGTTGTTTGCTATATATCCTATAACACAACCCAAATCCGAATTTCTTTCCCTTTTTCTTTCTTCAACCACTTTTTTCTCTTCTCTCTCTCCCCTTCATTCTACTAAGTAAACAACAAAGAATAAAGAAAAAAAATTCATGGAGTGTGTGGGTGTGTTTGAAATTTGGAATGCATTGGCATTATAAAGAAATTGTTGAAATTTGAAACTTGCAAAAATTGTTAGGTCTGCCATGATTTGTACATTATTTACAAGTAAGAGGGAATTAAGTATAACTCATAGTAATTGAGAGAGATGATGTACAACTCACCCTAAATTTAAGGATTCTCTGTGTAATTTACCTAAAAAATTAAGTTGTTATACGTGGACCCCCCATTCTCACTCTCTCTCCAGGGGTGGAGCTCGTTTGTGGTTGGAAAGTAACCGCATATTATACGATTTAATAAAACGGCACCGTTTGGTGTATTTTTTGTAATTTTTCTTTTTTTATTTTTTCTTACCAAAACGACGTCGTTTTGGTCCTTTAAATAAACATCAGACCCCCTCCCTTCCTTCTCCCACTTCTTCTTCATCGGGTCTGGTTCTCCCGCCATATTCACAGCTCAAACTCCCTCTTCTCAATTCATTCTCCATCTTCTTTTTCGTCAAAGGCAGTGAACTCCAAAAGCTTAGGCAAGAATAACAGTACACGATTTTGGCATTTACTTTACTAGCTCATGGTGAACTGAATTTAGTTCTTAGAAATGTCACACTTCCTAGAAATGTAGAAAATGCCAGAATGCTACTCAAACACCTTGGTAAACTTCTGCAGCAAGTCCAAAACCCATTATGAATCCAATTGAGAAGGCCAAGGTCCCATTCCTCCCATCTCTTTCCTTTCCCTGCACAAGGGTATTCTTCTCCAACTGTGACATAGCAAATCCATCGTCCCAGACCAAAAGTTTCAAGCCAAAACGATTGTTAGGAAGGTGAACTACAAAGGGTATTTCACATAATCTTTTGCTTTTTTGTATAGCAATTTACTGAACATGAAAGGCATTGATACTTTTTCTTTGAAAACAAATTCCTAGAATCTATGTCTATATTAGATGTTAAATTGCATATTCTGCTAATTGGACATTGTTGTGTGCTGCATTTTTTCTCAACAAGGAATCCAATGATGTATTGGGTTTCATTTGGTATTCTTCAAATGAACTTTAACACTTCTTCGCAGTGCCCAACTCAGACCTAGTAGATCATACACCAATAGTGCTGAATTTTAAGACTAATACTGAAGAAATGACTAATCTCTACAAATACTTGTTTATGGAATAATGATTAATTTTTTTAAGAATTATGTAACCTTATGTACATGACATCTAGTTCCATCTATGACTGCAAGTTTCATCTAATGTCATTTCAATTAAATTTGTTATTATAGGATACTATGATGGATGATTTGGGAGTTAATGCGACTGATAATATACCTCATATTGGTATATAATTTGATGCGGAGGAAGATGCGTATGCGTTTTACAATAGTTATGGAGGGTCTGTGAGATTTAGCGTGAGAAAAAATTTTCAGAATAAAAGTTTGAAAGATGGCGTTGTCGTTTACAGAAAATATATTTGTTGTAAACAAGGTCAAATGGGTCGTGATAAAAAAGAGTGTCACATAAAGAAGTCTCGAGCAGAGACAAGAACAAATTGCTAAGCTCATATGTGCATATCTCTTAATAGAGAAATTGGTAAATTTCTTGTGGTGAAGTGAAACGACAACTACAACCATCCGTTGCACCTTACTGAATGTATGCATATGATGTCATTCCAACGAAAGGTTACCGAAATACAAGGCATTAACATTGATATGACAGCAGATTATGGATTGTCACTTAAGGCTTCCTATGATCTTTTAAGTACTCAAACTGGAGGGAAGGGAAGTTTTGGTTTTACTCGTCAAGACCAAAAGAATTACCTCCGTAAAAGGAGGCAACGAGACTTGAGGTATGGTGAGACGGGTAGTTTGTTGAAGTATTTTCAAACGAAAGCAGTGAAAAATTCATCATTCTATTATGGAGTATAATTGGATGCGGAGGAGCATATTACTAATATTTTTTGGGCCGACCTAGTGATGATTATTGACTATGGCAACTTTGGAGATGTTGTCTCATTTGACACTATTTTTAGAATGAACAAGGAGTATCGACCCTTTACTTATTTTACTAGCTTCAATCATTTCAAGGAGACAGTCTTATTTGGAGCTGCATTATTGTATGATGAAACGACAGCATCATTTCAGTGGTTATTTGAGACATTCCTACAAGTTATGTCTGAAAAATATCCTATTACCATCTTCACCGACCAAGAAATTGCGATGGCTACGACTATTTCTATAGTTATGCCAGAGACATATCATGGCTTATGTACTTGACACCTTTGCCAAAATACTTTGAAACATTTGGGGAACATATATAAAAATGGTTCACATTTTCTGCTCGATTTAAAGAATGTGTGTATGGATATGAAGAAGAGCATGAATTACTTGAGGCTTGGGAGTCGTTGCTTGTTAAGTACAATTTGAATGATTATATGTGGATGAAAGCCACTTGGACATTGCGAGAGAAATGAGGGCATGTGTATATGAAGAGGACTTTCACTGCAGGAATGAGAAGCACCTAATTGAGTGAGAGCTTGAATGTAGCCTTACGGAAGTACTTAAAGTCAGACCATGACATTGTTTAGTTCTTTGTACATTTTGAAAGAGTTGTGAATGATAAGCGGTATAAGGAGTCAGATTCAGAATACCAAGCTAGACAAAAATTACCTAGATTGAAGTTAAAAAGAGCTCCAATGTTAGTGCAAGCAGGACAAGTGTACACTCCTACTATATTTGGCATGTTCCAAGAGGAGTATGATATCTTTCAGTGTGCTATTGCGACACCATGTGATGTGTTAGATGGGTGGCATCAATTTGTGGTTCGATTATAGGATGAACATAGAGAGTATTTGGTCTTGGTTAAGGCTAATGAGGAGATAGTCAATTGTAGTTGTCAAAAATTTGAAATGAAGGGAATATTATGTGGTCATGCACTTAAAGTCTTGGACATGACGAATATTAAGCAAATTCTCGAGCAATACATATGTAAGAGATGAAGACGAGATGCAGAAAAGAGTTGTAGGACAGCCTCCATTTTAATGTCAAATGAAGAGAATCTCAAGTTAATGGTGGCGTCATGTTACAGGCAGCTTTGTCCTAGAATGGTACAAGTAGCTGCTCCATGCTCTGGTCTTCAACCTGCCTATCAATTAGTGTCAAGTGGTGTTGAAGAATTGTTCAAACAAGTGGGTAATATGTATGCATCAATTGGTGATGGTAGCGATGATTTAATCCATGAAAATGTTGAACCAAGTGGAATAGAAAATGTTGATCCAACCCTTCTCCAAGTTAAAGGTTTAAAAAGAAAAAGGTGGTTACAACGGTTGGGATCGACTACAATCTTGGCAAGAGAAAGCAATAAAGAAAAAAAAGGAGTTTCCCAACCATCACATATGTCTACGTTATCGTATAAATATAATTGTAGATTTTTTTAATTTACTTCATATTTTTATTAACTTCATATTTTTATAAATATATTTGTAAGTATTTTTGTATTCCAGGTACAAGGTTTCACTCACCCGTGTACATCAGCATATGATCATTCAAATTAAACGCACAAATTCATTTACAACATAAGTTTCATCACTACACCATTGCTCTTACAGTTCTACTTCACTAGAATTACAAATATAAGTATCACCACTAATAAAGTGACTACAAACATTTTTGACTTCATTGAACCTTGACTCAACATGTTGAACTACATTACTTTTTGTTGAGTCTAAAGAAGGTAGTTGAACTTCTTTTGACTTCATGTAGTTTAATGTGTTAAGTTTAAAGAAGGTTCAATGAAGTCAAAAATGTTTGTAGTCACTTTACTAGTGGTGATGCTTATATTTGTGATTCTAGTGAAGTAGAGCTATAAGAGCAATGGTGTAGTGATGAAACTTATGTTGTAAATGAATTTGTGCGTTTAATTTGAATGAAATTGTGGGTTTTGTATATTGTTGAGACTTGAAATATCATATTCATAAAAAAAATTACATTCATTAAGAAGATCACATTCATTAAACAAGATCACATTCATTAAAATTACAACAAACATCCTTACAACTGCAGTAGTCTCATTAAAAATAAATAGTTTTCAACAAAATGAGAAATTGAGTAGTCTCCATATGCAATGGTGTAATTGCTGATCCTTACAAGTTGTATCCCTCATTCGTGAAAAATGATTCAGCATCATTTAAAGAATGCACATGCGTTAAATCAGTCGGAATACCCTACATTAATGAGAATGAGTCAGACAAAGAAACTTCATAAATATGTGAAACAATAAAATTAACAATAAAATAACATACCATAACACTTTGTACACTATTTGAAGCTTGAGAAAACATCGAATGACCATATGCTGAAATACACGAGTGAGTGAAACCTTGTACCTGAAATACAAAAATACTTACAATTATGTTCATAAAAATATGAAGTGAATTAAAAAAATCTACAATTATATTTATACGATAACGTAGACATATGTAATGGTTGGGAAGCTCCTTTTTTTCTATTTGTTGCTTTCTCTTGCCAAGATTTTAGTCAACCCCAACCCTTGTAACCACCTTCTTTTCTTTTTAAACCTTTAACTTGGAGAAGGGTTGGATCAACATTTTCTATTCCACTTGGGTCAACATTTTCATGGATTAAATCATCGCCACCATCACCAATTGATGCATACATATATCCACTTGTTTGAACAATTCTTCAACACCACTTGACACTAATTGATAGGCAGGTTGAAGACCAGAGCATGGAGCAACTACTTGTACCATTCTAGGACAAAGCTGTCTGTAACATGACGCCACCATTAACTTGGGATTCTCTTCATTTGACATTAAAATGGAGGTTGTCCTACAACTCTTTTTTGTATCTCGTCTTCATCTCTTACATATGTATTGCTCGAGAATTTGCTTAATATTCGTCATGTCCAAGACTTTAAGTGCATGACCACATAATATTCCCTTCATTTCAAATTTTTGACAACTACAATTGACTATCTCCTCATTAGCCTTAACCAAGACCAAATACTCTCTATGTTCATCATATAATCGAACCACAAATTGATGCCACCCATCTAACACATCACATGGTGTCGCAATAGCACACTGAAAGATATCATACTCCTCTTGGAACATGCCAAATATAGTAGGAGTGTACACTTGTCCTGCTTGCACTAACATTGGAGCTCTTTTTAACTTCAATCTAGGTAATTTTTGTCTAGCTTGGTATTCTGAATCTGACTCCTTATACCGCTTATCATTCACAACTCTTTCAAAATGTACAAAGAACTAAACAATGTCATGGTCTGACTTTAAGTACTTCCGTAAGGCTACATTCAAGCTCTCACTCAATTAGGTGCTTCTCATTCCTGCAGTGAAAGTCCTCTTCATATACACATGCCCTCATTTCTCTCGCAATGTCCAAGTGGCTTTCATCCACATATAATCATTCAAATTGTACTTAACAAGCAACGACTCCCAAGCCTCAAGTAATTCATGCTCTTCTTCATATACATACACACACTCTTTAAATCGAGCAAAAAATGTGAACCATTTTTATATATGTTCCCCAAATGTTTCAAAGTATTTTGGCAAAGGTGTCAAGTACATAAGTCATGATATGTCTCTGGCATAACTATAGAAATAGTCGTAGCCATCGCAATTTCTTGGTCGGTGAAGATGGTAATAGGATATTTTTCAGACATAACTTGTAGGAATGTCTCAAATAACCACTGAAATGATGCTGTCGTTTCATCATACAATAATGCAGCTCCAAATAAGACTGTCTCCTTGAAATGATTGAAGCTAGTAAAATAAGTAAAGGGTCGATACTCCTTGTTCATTCTAAAAATAGTGTCAAATGAGACAACATCTCCAAAGTTGCCATAGTCAATAATCATCACTAGGTCGGCCCAAAAATATTAGTAATATGCTCCTCCGCATCCAATTATACTCCATAATAGAATGATGAATTTTTCACTGCTTTCGTTTGAAAATACTTCAACAAACTACCCGTCTCACCATACCTCAAGTCTCGTTGCCTCCTTTTACGGAGGTAATTCTTTTGGTCTTGATGAGTAATACCAAAACTTCCCTTCCCTCCAGTCTGAGTACTTAAAAGATCATAGGAAGTCTTAAGTGATAATTCATAATCCGCTGTCATATCAATATTAATGTCTTGTGCTTCGATAACCTTTCGTTGGAATGACATCATATACATATATTTAGTAAGGTGCAAAGGATGGTTGTAGTTGTCGTTTCACTTCACCACAAGAAATTTACCAATTTTTCTATTACGAGATATGCACATATGAGCTTGACAATTTGTTCTTGTTTCTGCTCGAGGCTTCTTTATTTGACACTCTCTTTTATCACGACTCCTTTGACCTTGTTTACAACAAACATATTTTCTGTAAACGACAACGCCATCTTTCAAATTTTTATTCTGAAAATCTTTTCTCATGTTAAATCCCATAGACCCTCCATAACTATTGTAAAACGCATACGCATCTTCCTCCGCATGAAATTGTGTATCAATATGAGGTATATTATCAGTCGCATTAACTCCCAAATCATCCATCATAGTATCCTACAATAACAAATTTAATTGAAATGACATTAGATGGAACTTGCAGTCATAGATGGAACTAGATGTCATGTACATAAGGTTACATAATTCTTAAGAAAATTAATCATTATTCCATAAACAAGTAATTGTAGAGATTAGTTATTTTTTTAGTATTAGTCTTAAAATTCAGCACTATTGGTGTATGATCTACTAGGTCTGAGTTGGGCACTTGGAAGAAATGTTAAAGTTCATTTGAAGAATGCCAAATGAAACCCAATACATCATTGGATTCCTTGTTGAGAAAAAATGCAACACACAACAATGTCCAATTAGCAGAATATGCAATTTAACATCTAATATAGACATAGATTCTAGGAATTTGTTTTCAAAGAAAAAGTATCAATGCCTTTCATGTTCAGTAAATTGTTGTACAGAAAAGCAAAAGATTCTGTGAAATACCCTTTGTAGTTCATCTTCCTGACAATCGTTTTGGCTTGAAACTTTTGGTCTGGGACGATGGATTTGATGTTTCACAATTAGAGAAGAATGCCCTTGTGCAAGGAAGGGAAAGAGATGGGAGAAATGGAACCTTGTCCTTCTCAATTGGATTTATAAGGGGTTTTGAACTTGCCGCAGAAGTTTACTAAGGTGTTTGAGTAGCATCCTAGCATTTTCTACATTTCTAAGAACTAAATTCAGTTCACCATGGGCTAGTAAAGTAAATGTCAAAATTGTGTACTATTATTCTTGCCTGAGCTTTTGGAGTACACCGCTTTTGACGAAGAAGAAGATGGAGAATGAGTTAAGAAGAGGGAGTTTAAGCTGTGAAGATGGCGGGAGAACTAGACTCGATGAAGAAGAAGCGGGAGAAAGAAGGGAGGGGTCTAATGTTTATTTAAAAGATTAAAACGACGTCGTTTTAATAAAAAAAAAAAATTATAAAAAATACACCGAACGACACCGTTTTATTAAACCTTATAATATGCGGTTACTTCCCAACCGGAGACGAGCTCCACCCCAACCCTCATTCTCGGTCTGCCGCTTCGATCACTCCCTCTCTTTCACACACACACACAAACACATCTTTCTCTCGCACTACAGCGGCCACAGCTTCTCGACCGCCAGCCATCGCCTCTCTCCTCTGCACCGCCTTCAACCTCACAGGTATGTCTCTCTCTCTCAACTTCTCCCTCTGTCTCTCACTTTACCACCGTCCCCCTATCTCCCTCTCCCTCTCTGCGTTTCTGTCCCTCTCACTCGGATCCTCCCCTGTCATCAACCCCCACCCAAAGGCCACTACCGCAAACCTCTGCCACCACATTCTCCTAAGTTAAACAAATTCTACATTTAGTTATTTGTCAAACAAGGACTTTGCATCTTTGAGTTCTCTTACCGACGTAATCCGTGATTTTTCCTTTGAATTTTATTGTCCGTGCATTAAAAATATCTTATTTAAAATCAGCAGCTTGCTTTGTAAAAAGTTAGATTCAACATAGTTTACACAGCACACACATCCCCTCTAATACTCCCTCTCTCTGTCTCACTGACGCACACAGCACACATAGCGTCTTTGACAATCGGCAACTATGAAAAGAATTTTCTGCTTTGTGTTTACCATGTGCCCTACTAATCTTGATCTAAAGAAATTGGCTGTCTGAATTGTCCTGTGCAATTAGATGAGCTTGGATGGTTGCTTTGCATCCTATGTCCACTTTACATATGATTTAGATTATTTAAATTGGTGAGAAAATGATTTGGGTGATATATAGTGTGGTTTGATAGATGGTAGATTGCGTATTTATTTTAATGCATATTAGGTGATCGAGAAAAGGTTAGAGAATCTTGACGTAAAGTTCTTGACGGAAATTGCCTCATACATCGAGATTTGAAACTACAGGTTTCGTGATTGAGCTTAGTTGATTGCTATATTGCTGTCATTTTTTTGCATGTTGTTGTGTACTTTAATAGGGAAGGCTAGTTGCATTGCTATTATTGTGAACCATATATGGATTTCCTTTGTTTTATCTTGATAAATTTTGTGCGTCTAGTGTACATTGTGTTTTTTTCTTCACCATTTTGAATTTTATTTTCACATGAGTGCGGCATTATCCACAGAATAGATTGTTAGAAAAAAGTATGCATTTGAAAAAATATGACCTTTGATTGTTGAAGGGGTTTGTTGTGCCCCAAATGGTATTCATTAATACAATATCACTGCACACAATCTCTGAATATTATTGATAGACTATATTGTCCTTACTCTGAGTATGTTGTTACCTATTTCTATAACGTCAATGCGACTATCACATAACATCATTACAGGCTACATGATGACCAGAAAGAAACACAAATAAAAAATCAAATCCAGTTTAAAACTTGATTATGAATGTCCAAAAACCTGCTGTATGTGAAGTCTTAGTTTTCCCCTTTTGTATTCTTTTTTATGCTTTGAATTAGCAGACCTATCCTCTAGTTTTTATTGTAAGTGGTGGCTATCTATGGATGTGAAGATGTATTTGTGATGTATGGAGTTGAGGTTGCATGGGTGAAGGAATGTGGTGGATACTGACCCGGGAAAAAATGTGGTGGATCTATGGTTAGATTTTCTTTCTTTTGTTATTTTCTAATGCGGTTGTGGGGTTGGTGGTTCAATTTGCTGATGTTTGATAAGTATGTGTGTGCGAGTGTCCATGATAGATGCATGGTTGTGTTTAGGCAGGACTGTGCTGTGAAAGCTTGATGGTGTGGCCAATTTGATAGTGTTTAGGGTATGATTGTGAATTTGGTATATAGGTTAAAATATTTTAGGAGTTCTATTTTTAGGAAAAATTATGTCCAAATTTTTTAGAATTTATTGAGTCCAGGTTGATTTGAAATTTAGAAAATAAAAAAGAATACTATAATAGTTAGGTTTGATAGATGATAAATATATTTAATCTTAGAAGCCAAATTGGAAAGTAAAAAAGAGAAGAATTTTAAGGGTAGAGGAGCCAAACTGGAAGCCAGGATAATGATACCCAGAATAAAGAGAGAAAGCGTACCAAACACTGCTTCACCCCCTAAGCTCCAACTCTCTCACATGTTCTTCCATATTCCCAAACCGCAAGGTTCAAAAAGTTTCTCTCTCATCTTTAATCAACCACTTCTGTCTTTTGGCCTCTTTGGTAAGTGGTAACACCAGTGATACAAATACCAATTGTGTTCTTTCTGTTTTCTTGGTTACTTAAAGTTTCTATTACTGTAACCAGCAAAATTTGCTTATGCAGTGATAAATTTAGCTTTATGAGTTTCAAAGATTTGTTTCCCCTCCTTATATATTTTTTATTTTGTATAGGTCCATCTTGGTAGTTTTTCATAGTCATTGTATTCAACTGTTGTTTTATTTATCTGGGTGCATTGGACTTTGGACTTGGTCTGATGTAATCTTTGGCCATGGTCATCGCTTGTTTAGGAAATTAGTCACTGATGTATTTTCATATGCTTTGAAAAGAAGTTGTCTAGCTGAGTTGTTTTATAGTATTGAATTTCAGTTGTTCTTGCATATTTTTTATTTTAACATATATATGTTTTTCCCTCCTGAAGTTTGGCACTTGCTGGGCTAATTTTTAATGGTTTTCATCATTGTAGCAAACAATGGTAGGCCTATCTGTTGGAGAGAAGCATTTTATACAGGGTGGCATTGCTCAAGACCTTCGCTCTGACGGTCGAAAAAGATTAACTTACCGACACATACAAGTTGAAACTGGAGTCATTCCTCAGGTAAATTGTGTTCCTTCTCCAATATACTAATGGTCTTTCGTTTCCACTAATTTTCTTTTTTTTTTTAAATTTGGAAAACATTTATATACTATTGGCTTCATGACAGGCAGATGGTTCTGCAAGAGTAAAGATGGGTGCAACTGATGTTATCGGCAGCGTGAAGGTAATCAACGATTCAATCAATGCACACTTTTCCATCTGCTTTGAAAATAAAATCTTTTCATTTCCGGTTACAGATAATGTACGCTGCTCCTACAGATTCTATTGTAGGAGAATCAAATGGAGTTGTGGTTTATGTTTAATGTTCTTTTTATTAATTGCAGGCTGAGCTTGGAAAACCAAACCCATTGCAACCTGACAAAGGAAAAGTTTCTTTATATGTTGATTGCAGTCCTACGGCCGCGCCAATGTTTGAGGTTGTATTAATAGTTGGATAACTAGAGTTTCTTGTTTTTAACATTTTCCTGTATAACTTAAAATGTATTGGTGCTCAGATGGCATAGTAGCTGTAAAAAAATCCAGTTGAAGAGATATGCTGCACTAGAGGAATGTTAAAATTTTTAGTTGTTTCATGCATATGTAACAATTTTGGGCATCTTAATGTATGTCCATATTCGATTATATTACTTAACACTATAGGAGTCTATGTGCTTTCACACATGCATGTGTGTAGCTCCGTTTTAGATGAGTATGTGCCATCCTGTAAAGTGGGCAAAAGTGTATATTGTCATGTATTAAACACACTGCGTCCCGCTCCAAGTAAAGAAAAAGAGGACATTAACTTTATGTTTCTTAAGTTTTGTTGCCATTTTAACAAGTTTAAAGTGACTTAAGTTGGTATATATGAGGAGAAGCTATCGAAGGTTGTGTGTGCAAATTACTGGGGAAAAGCAGTGATCAATCTTTTCTTGTTGGTTCAACACAGATAGCTTCATGTTCACTCATGACTGTTGCTGTAGGAATCAACATAAGTGTTGTTGTTTTTCTACATGATTTCCTCCATTTACTCTAAGTAAACAGAAGTACAATTGGTTTTTCCCTCTCTGAGTAGCTAATAGTTCATCACTATTGACCAGGAAAAAAACAATTAAGTTTATCATCAATGACTATTTCCCTGGGGTTTTTGTCACTTCCTAGCTTGTCTTACATGTCTGTATTGACCGCAGGGCAGAGGGGGTGAGGAGTTGTCCACAGAACTTTCTGCAACTCTTCAGCGATGTCTGTTGGGTGGTAAAAATGGAGCAGGTACAAATTCTTGAGAGAGCAAGACAAGTTCCCATAATTCTTTTTATGGCATATGCTTTTGTCACTGAGCAATTCTTACCCTCTAGTATATATAGTTATTTTGGGTGAAGCTTCACTTCTCTTGGTAATGTAGAGGAACTTATAAATTTTCATTCAGGAGCTGGAATTGATCTTTCATCTCTATCAATTGTGGAAGGAAAAGTTTGTTGGGATCTTTACATTGATTGCCTTGTTGTTAGTTCAGATGGGAATCTGCTAGATGCCTTAGGTGCTGCCATCAAGGTATATGTTATTTGTCTTTATACTCTTTATGTTTATTTTTTCGTAATACGTCACAGGCATGGAGGTAGAGTCATGTTGTGTCTGTCATTGCCAATATCATGGTGGACAGCTGATTCAACTGCTTCCGTCCTCCTTTCGCTTTCCCTTTCCCTTGCCCTTTCCTCACTTGTACATTTCCCAATCTTGATGATAAATTTGGGTTTGCACCTGTTGGCCTATTTTTGTCTCGGGGCTCTTATAACTTTACTGCCTATTTTATATGAGAATGGCAACAGGAATGATATTTTATGGTTATTCAATTCCACATTTTTATTTGTATATCTGTTCTAATATTGAATGGTTAATGCATTTTCAGTAAAATCTGACTTTAGTTATGACTATTGTTCCTCTAGGCTGCTTTGAGCAATACTGGTATCCCCAAAGTCCAAGTCGCTGCTGCTGTTTCTTCTGATGGGCAGCCTGAAGTTGACGTAAGCGATGAAGAATTTTTGCAATTTGACACCTCTGGGGTCCCTGTTATAGTTACTTTAACAAAGGTGACAGAAGTATTTTTACAAGTTTCTTCAAATCGCTTTTCCTGTTTCTAATTCCGACACCCTTTGTGTAGGTTGGGAGGCACTATATTGTAGATGCAACTTCCGAAGAGGAATCCCAAATGAGTTCAGCTGTCTCTGTTTCCATTAATAGGGAAGGACGCATATGTGGGTTGACCAAACGAGGGGGTGCAGGCCTAGATCCAAGCATCGTACTTGACATGATATCTGTGGCTAAACATGTGAGCGAGCAGTTAATAAACAAATTGGATTCGGAGATAGCAGCAGCAGAAGCATGTGAAGAGGAAAGCGGACATGGTTAGACCTCCATTAAACCTTGTAAGTTAACTTGTTGAAAGACTTTTCTTATGAAACTTCATAATTTACTCAATAGGGGATAAGATTAGATGTGGGATATATTGCACTCTGACCAGGGAGAGTTATTTAGCTCCCATTAGAACCTTGTCATGGGTCTGTTTGGCTGATAATGGAATTTTACCGTAGTTATCTCCAAAATGGTTCAACATATAGCAAACAGTTTTTGGGCCAACGATCAATTAAATTCAACCATGGAATGACTGTATCACCTAGCCTAAACAATCCAATGGGCAAATGAGCCCGCTGTAGGAATCCACACCTGAGCTCATCGTCTAAACCTGCAGAATCACCCTTCGAGATTCCATGTGTACTCCTCTCATGGAAAGGAAGGCTTCCGCCAAAGGTGTCCCTCTCTGCCGCCCCAAAACCTGAACTAAAGATTGCCTCACTCTACAGCTCGTTGCTTCCTCATTTTAAGAGTTTGTTCAAAGCCCACTTCTTGCACCTTCTTGTTCCTTGATAATGGTTTTATGTTTTGAATGTTGTCCCAATTGGGGCGAATTCTTAAACCAAGACGGATTCTTGCATCGAAAATCTGAGAATCTTTGAAATGAAGCCTGTCAGCTGCTCCTTTCTCCCAACAGGATGGAAGAAATATTTCTTCCTAGAGGGAGAGCTACGACTTTCTGCCCAAAGGAATAAGCCTCCTTTTACAGAAATGGTGCAGGTTTCTGAATATTGCCGAATTATTTTTACCTCAATTTGCTCATTCGCAACCACGCACCACCCTCTTCAAAGTTAGCAGTTTCAAGAGACTATCTATCTGCAGGTGGTTTCCACTGCTGTTAGATAATAGACATGATACACGACAGCCTTTCACAAGAATTTCAAGATCCAGACCTAGGATAATGCTGTTAGATAATAGACATTTTTTTGCATAATGCCCAATTTCAAGAAAGATTAACATGACTTACATGTCCGTGTCTAACAAACTAAGCCAACTACGAATGGATTAGAGATCCAGCTATGAAAGCCCTTGAAAGACACTGCCTTTTTTTTAGTACATAGTAGTAGAAATGAACCGAGTCCTAAAAACAATTACTCCCTAGGCTACAACTCGATTGTCACCGTTGCCACTGCCACCCTAGGGGAAAAAAATTTCAACCATTTTCATATAAATGCATGATGATGATACGAAGAAAGCTACAGCTTAGAGAAGAGAGTCCAGTTTCTACATCATACACATACACCCTACAGAAACTACACAAATACAAAAACAAAAAACTCCGTACATTTAGTGCGAGAAGAAAAGACAACGAAACAATAAATTTCAGAATTTCAAAAAGTCCCCAGGGGTCAAAAGTCAGAAGAGTGTTTCAACCTAAAAAGTCCCCAAAAGAGGGGAAACTTTCCAGAGAATCAATTCAAAGCCATGAAGTACGTTTGACTCTGTTTTTGGTCCCATCCAGAAATCTTTGTCCCAATGATAAACAGTTCTGTCCCAGTAATAAACCCCACCAACACTACTTTTCATGTGTAAAACAAATGACCTTTTTTTTCTAGGACTTGGGTACAAATGCTTGCCATATACATAATACATAGCTGCCAGGATAAGACTATGGTACAAAAATACTGTGGTCATAAATCATCAACTAATTCATTTGTAGCCTTTGTTGCAAAGACTACTTCAGCCGTCACAATTTCATTAGTTGGAAAAATGAGATATAGTACCAAAAAATAACTTCAGGTACCAAAGTTGGACCGGTAGCTGCTATTCTGCTCCAAAGTCCCATAGGTGAATGGTGGTATCACTAGAACAAGCTGCTGTGTAACGTTCATCTGAAACTAGAGCATTAGCATCACCAATTCTCTCCCGAAAATAGTACAGGTACTCTCCACGCTCTACCTCCCATAATCTAACCACACCCCCAACGCACATTATTGCGTATCCACCATTCATACAACCCAAAACACCCCTCTGCGAGGCACCGGCCACCCTAAACCTACATACCTCCTCCAAAGTACCTACCTGGCGTACACTTGCCATGCCACGGTTGTCTATGATAATGAACGACTCGTTGCTGGCATCGAAGGAGCCAACAAACAGCTCACTTCGGAACTCTTCCTCTCCTAATACTATCCCTTGGTTTCTAAGATCAAATACAATAACCCTACGGCTTGTGCATGCCACTGCAGATTCATTAGTAGTTACTCTGACTCGGCCAATAAACTCGGTCAGCTCAGCGAGTAAATGCCAACCCCTCACAGCCTCAGGGTCAGTCAGTGTGCCACCTACAAAAACTAGCTCTTCAGCCTCAGCATTCCACACATGAAAAGCTCGACCTGGGACACCTGCAACAGAAAAAACAATCAAATATGAATACAAATAACATGAACAAGACAATCGTTTGATTGTGTTTCCTTATACATATGAAACAGTTAATTAATAACCAACAAAAATGGTTTGACAATGGGGCATTTGACTATAAATGTTTAAGAGCTTAATTGAAGCACCTGCATAGAGGCCAACCCACCACTGGTTACAGCCGGTGAAGTCGACCAAAGCGCCATCATTGACCACATCACCCAAATGAGCTCTTCGTGTTGGAACAGCATTGTTGATGATTACAACATGGATGTCACCATCAAGTGAAGCAAAAATAAGATGGGAATCAAATAGTATTATACCAGACACAGCACTAGAGAAGCGGCCAAGGCGGTCACGGTGGTGGGGGTGGAATGTGGAGAGGTGGAGCCTAGTGGGGAGATGGAAGAGACGGACGGAGCCATCAGAGAAGCCAGCTGCAAGGTGGTAGTCTGAGAGGGCAAGGCGGCAACAAGAGAGGCCTTCGTTATTATTATTGTCATCAGGGGGAACGAAGTGTAGAGTGGTGTACATATATCTCCGCCCACGAAAATTGTTAGCTGTGCGGTGGCGGTATATGAATTCACCATGCCAAGTGTTGTGCAAGAGGTGGCGGCGGTTCCAAATGCGGTGAGTGAGATTCTGCCATAGAAGATTGGAGCGCGAAACAGCTCTCCAGGTAGAACACACCTGCACCAACAAGTACAAGGGATACTTAGCATTGTCATTTTCTTTATCAACAAAGCATGTCACATTCACTATCATCAACCAGCGGTGCTCAAGATGCGTGTGAAATTGTCGCAACTCAATCGGTTATGGATTGCAGTATCATCAGGCTCGGTTTCTCGTTTCATCTTGTTCAACATTTAGCAACAAAATGCAAACAACATATATACCTATAGGGGAAAAATGAATGCACATATGCATAATAAAACTCATATTTAGCATTCAATTCCAAAGCAATTCAGTTTTCCCATTGTTTTCTGTCTTTTTGTGAGCCAGGACAGTTTGCCACATGCAATCTAGTTAGACACAAGATGTTCAGCTTACTCTTATATTGTGTTGAAATACTTATCCCTTCCAACTTCAATCTAGTACTATTATCATCTATTCTGTGCGATAATATTGGTTACAATATTCACTACAAAAAACACTTTAAAGTAAAGTGCAATGCTAAGATCATCAGGGGCGTTGCACAAAAAATGTAAGGAACCATGAGGCTTGCACAACTTGCGAATGCAAAATTACAAGGCATGAGGATCAGATTAGCTTGTTCAACAACAAGGACTTATAACGCAACTGATTGTCAAAACCCGAGATTTTTTGTTAAAAGAGCTTTTTCACTCATAAGTGTGAGATTAAAGCTCTTTTCCTTGTCAAACTATCTTCTTTTTCATTAAAAAAGATCAATTTAAACATTTACAAACTAGTTGTTACGAGGACTTCCTTCATCCTCATGTCAATGGCAACTTAACTTCCACCATCAAGGTGCCACTCCAACCCCAAAATATTCTTTTAACAAAATCCTCTCCGGCATTTATTTGCCGATGAAGATCTATATCCAAGCTCCATAGTACCATTGACTCATATTTCTCTTATGTTTTCCTATCCTTTCAATTCTCCTTCATGACCAAATGAAAAAGAAGATTCCCTTGCACTATTACCATAAATTTCTTTTATTTTATTTTTTTGATAAACCAAGAACCCCTATCAACCGAACCCATGTAGACCTGTGGCCAGGAGTCAACCTAGGCTCACACACACCTCTCCACCCGCAGAGGTTAAATCTAGTGGAGGTGATTCAATGAGAATTTTTATCCAGTGCAATATCGAACCCTTAACTAATAACAACTTAAGGCATTTGATGACGACTATCACTTGAACTAACTCCTTGGGTTGTAATAAATTTCTTTTCCTAACATATAAAATAAGTATCTAAATATTATTATTAGCTCATGTCAACAATTTCTGTCGCTTAAAGGTGAGACCGTCTACCAACAAATGGGAATTCATCACAACAACAAGAAGTGGAGGAATGCAGCATAATTATCAAAAATTGTGCTGTCCGTGAAATTATAGTAAATATAAGGGTACGTAACTGTAATTAAACGTAATAAAAAACGACAAAACCCTATCTCTGATTAAATTAAATTTATAAGACCCAACTGCGCATGCCAAATCCCACTAAAAGAAAAGTCCAAGAGGGTTTAGCTTTATTTTATGGGACTTGATGTTCGAGTCATTCCAAGCAAACAAGCAGGCAGGGTCTAGATGCTAGAAGTACAGAGAGAGATAGAGAGAGCTCTGGCAGGGAGCCAGAATAAAGTAGAGACACAAAGGGGGTACTAGTTATTAAATTGATTTGACTTGTCTTGTAGTATCTACTTCTACACCTGGTCTTCAGTAAAAGACATCAGAAACATACATGCACAGGTATAGAAGATTGAGAAATCTAGGTTACCCAAAAAAAATTATATAATATATATTCGTATTTGTCATAAAAAATCAAATACGAACCAGACAAAATACTGTAACAAATAAAAGTAATGCGTATAAAGTAAATGGGATAGAATATATTGCCAAAATATTTTACAATCACACATTGATAAATAAAAAAAAATATTTTTGATTATATTTTAATTTGAAATACCATAACATTGTCCGTTCTACATACATTAAAAAAAAAAAGTCTCTCATTTCCAAGAAAAAGGTTGCCTAAGGTGTCTCATTAATTGCAGCGATTCCTCTTTCTCTTGAAAGTAGAACTTGCCTTGTGTGCTTTCGAAGGGCTTTACATGTACAACATCTCGTGGCATGAAGGCCTCTGTTTAGAACTAGCACTGGGGTCTATGAGCTTCTGTTTTTTGTTGCCAATGGTACAGAGAACAAGTTATTATCTTATGTTAAGCAATAATTTATTAAGTGCTCAATTTTTATTTGATTCAACGGTCATGGAGGTTTAATTAACTTATACATACATCAACTAAACTAATCTTTTCCTCAACTTGAACAGAGACTGGAATGTTTTTGCCATGGCCGAACTTCGAACTTTTTAAGTCTACATGATAGTCCTATCATAAGGCCCGAACAAACAGGAAACATTGCTGGTTCGGATTTACCCCTTACTCCCAACCTCAAACCGTTTAGGCTGCCATTAAAATATAGAAACAAATGGACAACAAAAAATTTTTAAAAATGCAAAAGTGGAAAAAAAAAAAAAGGAAACCATCTTTTCCTTAATTGATCTCTAATGGGGTGTTGTGACAAAAAAAAAAAACTATAATACAGTGTTTGCTACGGTGAATAAAAAAATAAAAAGATGAAAATTATGAATGATACATGTTTTATCTTTTTAAGAGAGGAATCCGCTATTTCCTCCTTTTTTTTGTTTGATAGGAGAGATTAACAATAAAAATAATTAATTTTTTTTGTCTCTAATAGGATGAAAAAAAATAGAAGAATAGAAAAAATGTAAATGCATATTTTACTATTATATTTATATATACATAATATGTAATTAATAAAATATGATATATACATATATCAAAAAATATGTAAATAAATAACATACATTTTAATGAATATAATTAACTTTATATTCACTTTTTCTTCAAATTTTGATTTTAGTGAATTAAAAAAAAATTCATTCGTTCACTTTTTCAATATTTCTATTTCTTTTCATACTAAACATGATAATTTATCTATCTCTTCAATTTTCTATCAATGGACCAAACAAAGCAGAACTTAATAAATCTTAACTTCAAACCTTAATATCGTATTGGCAAATTTTGACGTGAAATGCACAAACTAGGAAAACGTGATTGTCCACCAATGAATTTTTCAGTAATGACGATAGGTAGCTGGGAGAACCACTAACAAGGAAGGGATTATTTTTCAATGCTGTTAGCTTCATCTTTGTACAGTTAACGAGTTCTAGTGTTTTAAGCTGACACATGCACTTCCAACCAAAAGACAAAAGTAGGATTGAAGTTTTGGATTTGGATATGAAGAGGAGTCAGAATCCAAAAACTGCTACAACTACCATACAGTTGCACTATTTTCCAGCACTTCAATTCCAACTTAAGCACTGTGTGAACTATCGGAACGATGACTTGAAAAAGGTGGCCCAACACACATTCTCATCATTGTGGGATAAAGAATAAGATATACAGTCTTGCATCGAATGCATAGAAATTGTTACCAAGCCTCAAACCTTAACACCCTTGGTACAATGTCTCCAAGGCTGTTCCCCGGAACAATTACTTCCGAGGATAAAAAAACATCTCGGAAGACGATTATCAAAAATACACTAAGTATTGAATAGAACTAGGAGAAAAATTTTGGGTACCGCACCATCAAATTTTATAAATTTTGTGGATTACAATACAAGTTTTTAAATTTATTTACGGAGACTTTGAGGTTATATTACAATTTTTATGATACATCATACATGTTTAAAACTTTTGTGGGTCATTTGAGATCAATCCAGATAACCCCCAAAAATCGTAAATGATTTTCATATGCCGTAAATAATCCTCAAATCTTATAAATGATTCTCAAAAGTTGTAGAATGAACCTTAAATTATAAAATAAACAACAAAACTTTTCATAAAGGTATAATACCCAAAAAAAACTTTTTAGTACAACCAAAAATGTGAAGTTTCTGTTCCTGTTGTGCTAGTTAAGGAATAGTAATAATTTGTCAACAGTATAAGAGAAAACCAGTGGAGGAGTATTTGGGCCTATGTCTCAAGCTTCTGTTCACTCTGTGTCTCACAGGTGGTCTCCATCAACAATATAAAAGCATACCAATGGATAGAGAGCTTAGAAAGTTCAGTCAAAAAAGTAAAAAGGATTTTTAGAGCCCAATAAGGATCATGCAAAGAAAGGGAAAAGGAATCGAAAACCCCAAAAGACCACGTTTCATTTCAATCCAAAAATGGATAAGATCTGCCGAGAGAGATAGGATTAACCCAAAGGACTCCATTACAAAGGAAGTTTGTCCTTGGATGCCTAAACACACCCCACCCTCTCTCTCTCTAGCATATAATATTCAATCCGCAAATGTTTTGTTTTCTTTTTTGTAGGCATTGAATGTATATATAAATTTATGTTATAAAATTCAGAAAGAATTGAGATTATAGTAACGCCATGGGCATGAAATTACGATGATGATTTGGTCAAAGATTTAGTCTATCTCTCAGAATCATAGCAGTGAGTTGTTAAACAAAGCGTCACATCGTCCATCGCTGTCAAAAAATATTCAAATTCTTTGGGAATTTTTGGTTCAGAATCGAAAAACAAAAGAGGGCGTACAAAAATATGAGTGTATGCATTGATAGAGAGAGATAGAGCGAGAGAGAGAGGACCTGGAAGAGGTTGGACAGCGCCGGAGCGGCGGCGAGGCGACCGTCGTTGGTAGCTGCGTCAATGGCGACCTGAGACGCGAGAGCTTCGAGGAAAGGCTCAGGCCAAACTGCGTTGCCGAAGCGTCTGCGAGACGTAGAAGGACCTTCAAAATCACCACCGCCGCCGCCTCCTCCTCCATCACCACCACCACCACCACCACCATCATTGTCTGATGAAGAAGACGACGATGACGACGATGATGACGACGACATACAACAGTTATCTATAAAAAGTATATGTAACAGTAATGGAAGATACTGAAGAAAGAAAGTGATGGAAAAAGCAAGATAGAGACAAACACAGGGGCCCAAAAGATGGTGTTCTCAGATATACACACAGGACATATACATACATTATATATATAGGTCAATATCTATGTTTTTGGAGGTTTTGGCTTTCCCGCCCTGCAACGACGGCGTTGGTGGAAGCGACAAGGACCTTCAGATTCAAAGTGGTGTGAGAAAGTCGAGACTAAAGGGGGTTTGACTAGGGTACCGGATTTTTTCCGGTAGAGTACTACTTATAACTTCTTTATTTTCCGTCGAAATTCGAATTCGAAATCTTAAATCTATAACAATAAAAAATATATATATATTTATGTAATGATCATATCATATTAATATTATTATCTGCTATTATCAATTAATAATATATAAATAAATTAAAAAATAAATATCACATAAGTCAATAACTATACACAAATAACTATTTACTCATCTTTCATAGTAAATAAATAATTATTTATTTAAAAATTTTATTATTAATTAATAATATCATGTCATTAATATTAACATGATATCATGAATGTAATGAATATTCTCTGATAAAACAATGCCTCATCTTTAAGCTGTTTAATCTCCTCACTTTAAAAAGTACAACAATGGCCAAATTATTTAAATTTGACAGTTTATATTATAATTTTATAATTTAACCTTTTAAGCAAAGTAACTCATTTAAATTTTAATTTTTAACATTTTAATCAAAATAACTAATTTAAATTTAATCATTTAATTTTAATAATAATTTTAATTTTAATTTTGTAATCACAATAACTCAACTCATATATTAAAAAAATATATGTGCTTTGCACTATACATGGTTGGCTTAATATCCACTAAAGGTATTCACCCTACCTTACGGATAGAAAATATGTTTTTTCGTCTTCCTACCCGACACTTTGCGGAAGATTTTTTTCTTGACCTACCCTACCTGACAGTTGTAGTATTCCTATCCGATTAATCGGGTAAGAAGTCGGGTAAATATTTTTGTAACAATTAATTTGCGGATCATTTTAACAAATTAATTAAATAACATACACCAATTTAACAACACAATAAATCAATTAACACTAAAATCTAAAACAACTATAATAAGAATTATAATAAAACACAAGAAAGTATGAAAATCAATCTACCATAATTGTTACACAAATATAATAACAATTAATTTAAGTTTAAACTTTAAACCATATGAAATACATTAAAATCATAATTGCTCCGTTGTGGTAGTTCACCACAAATCATGTAACTGATCTGTTACTGTGGATGAAAGTCTGCGATCAGACCTTCCAAGCCAGACCACACCATAGAGAGAGATAGAGAGAAAGAGAACCTGGGTGGGAAGTCTGGAACGATGAAGGAAGAGCAGTGGAGTGACCAAGTGAGGTGTAAGGAGCAGACGCTCTTGAGACTTAGTAGATTAGAGTTTTTTTACTATATATATATATATTTAAAAAAATATTGCGGGTAGATTAGGGTAAGAATGCGGAAATGAATGTCTATTCCGCATTTTTACTCAATTTTTGCGGCTAGCAGTTCAATAGGGTACGGTAGGGTAGGAACTTGCGGCCAGTTGAAAATTTCAACACCCCTAATATCCACCACTAACTTCCATTCATTTTTTAGTTCACTTTATTATTTTTTTGAATAAAATTATGTTTTTAGTTTTTTTTTTTGGGGGGGGGGGGTTTTCTTTGCTTCGTGGTCTTTACCTTGATTTGTTTGCATCTTGTTTGATTAGTGTTTGCTATTAATTCAACGGTTATAATTAATTAAGTTTTTTATATTAAAATTTTAAATTAAGTCTAAATAATATTTTTTTAGGTCAAAATATCCTATTAAAAAAGAAAAAAATTATTTAAACTTAATTCAAGACCTAATCTGACTACTTTAATCAACATTGAATTGTAAGTGAATTCCACATAATATTAGAACTCACACCTAATCAAATAAATGAAATAATTAGGTCCCAAATTAAGCTCTTGTAGCATTAGTCATTGAAAAATTTCTATAAAGACAAAGTGTACATTTATTAAGTGTACCATAATCCTAATTTTGGATTTTTATCATTTGGATCATCTTGAAAATGAAAATGTGACACTCATATTTAATTGGGTCTCACACTCATTAATAATAAATAATTTACTAAAGAAAAAAATATTGAATGGAGTTTAAATTAGTTTAACACAACACATATAACAAAGTGTGACAAAATTCAATACAACCTTATTACTCTACACAAATCGATACGAAATTTGTAGGCTTAAGTTTCAATCTTAACGGATTGAATGTGCCTAACTCACACAATAAATGAGCCATGTTTAGGTAGGGTACCTTAACCTATTTATTAATTGATTACTTGTTTAATACATCGATATCTCACTTGATTATCGGTTTATCACACGATTACCATTTATTATATTTCTGATTACTTGTTTAATAAATGACCTAATTTGTTGCAAAAAATAAAAAAGTATTGTAGAATTAATAGATACACAAGTCGTGTAGTGTAAATCATTTAATAAAAAAATAGGTGTTTGATTTTAATATGTATACTCGTTTAAATAAATAAGACAAATATAAATTGAACAATTTTAAACACGAAACAACTATAATTTAACACGAACTTTAAAGTTGGAGCCAAATCTCAATAATCTATTACTTTGCACTTATTTTCTACCTAACTTTTAACCAGTTTATTGCCATAAGCTATGAAACACGGATATGGATACGAGTACGATAAGTTATCAATACGACGATACAACAAAGTATAAAAAAGTAGGATACAGGTACGTCTAAGACACGGTTATAATAAAATATATTTAATATTTTTATTATTTTCAACAAACTTAATATTTTATATATTTTGGTAGTTTTTTAACATATAATAAAAAAAATTAGTAATTTTTTTTTAATTTTAAGAAAATATTTATTGTGTCGCTATGATATATTCACAAAATGAAGTGACTAATTAAAAGAATCAAAACTAATATTTACCTAGTATTTAAAAGTAATTTTTGTTTAGCTTATAATGTAATAGTTTTATTTTATATTCTTTTGACATGTAATTGTAGATAATATTTAAAAAACACTCATGTGCCTTTGCAGTAATATAAATTTTTTTTTAATGTATTGTATAATATGTGAATTCGAAAAGAGATGTTAAAAGTTTAATTAAAAAATTATATATGTTGATTGATTAAAAAATATCTGTGAAGTATCATAATATTTAATTATTATCGGATACTTAAAAAGTGTATTCGATACGTATTTTTGAATATTCGACAAATATCGTATTTAATATGATATTCAATACATGTACGTCAATTTTAACGAAATATCCGTGTTTTATAAGTCATAAATAACTTTTAGCTACGTTTCGCAATAATCACGAAGCCTGCGTAATCAAATAAAGATCCAGTATGGAAAAGGGTTACTTCTTTTTAGAAGAAGAAGAAGAGATTGTTCATGATCAGATCGTAAGATTATGTGGTAAAAATAAAGGAAGCGTGAACTGTCTTTAATCAGAGTGTGCTAAAATAGAGTAAAGCGTGAGCTACAAGTTCCTCAGATTGTGCCCTGCTAACCAGCAGATGTGACTTGTTCTTCATACCCATGGGAACAAAAAGGATATGCTCAAAATGATGGATTTGGATTGCAACAATCATATCTTCCCTAGATATAGCGGCAAAAGCCAGGTTTTTTAATCCCTCTATTTGGTAGTTTTGAATATATTTAATAAAATATTATAATTTTAAAATTATTTACTTTGAAAACAAGTTTCCTAAAGTGGTTTATAATGTCTTAAATAAAGATGAAACAATTGTAAGAAGACACGTAACAAATAACACATAAAAATATGGAATAATTGTGAAAAGACACGTGATAAGTAACACATGCAAATTAGAGAAAATAATTGTGTTTGAGAGATAAAATGCCCTTAATCGAGCAAAACAAGTTTGATCGAACATAGAGGTGACTGAGTTGAATTAGTAATCAATCAAAATTGGTCGGATGATGCAACCAGGGATGCTTCAAGCTGGTATTTGTGTTGAATTTTTATTTTTGGGAGATAAGGATAAAATTCATCCAAATAAAGAATAGCTGGGCAATTATAAAAAAAACCAATAACGGTCAATAAAGAATGATGAATAAGAAAAGGGCTCACCTTAAAAAGCTATAGTGCAAACCTAAAAAAGCTTACAAAAAAAAACGAATTAGAAAAGACAGCATAATAGATTGATGATACCTTTTTCATACTTTTATTAAATGGGTACTATTTGAATGTCACAATAGAAGTGACAATGAAGATGATGTTAGTGATAGTGGAGATGATAAAATGGTGGTGATGGTAGTGTTCTAGCTGGGTTGAGACGGTGGGGGGGTGTTGGAGATGACCATGATAACTATAGCAATGGTGGCAACATTGGTGACAAAGACAATAGTGGCAAAGATGGTCAAGGTGGTGATAGTGACGATAATAATAAAATAATGATGGTGTTCATGGTTGTAACGATGACAATTGTAATGGTGTTCACGATTATAGCGATGACAGCAGTGATGACGGCATTCATGGTTATAGTAACGATAGTGGTGATAATGGTTAATGTTAAGGGTTAATTATAACATATCCCCTCCAACTATATTTTGTTATAATTAATTTTTTTTTGTTTTAAATGTTGCAATTTGTTCCTTCCAAGTTTTAAATAGACTAAATTGACTAATAATAGTGGTTGAATACTTGAAAAAATTGTTACACCATCCATCTTGTACATTATTTTTTATATTTTTTTTTCTTGAGATACTAATTTTGTTTCTAAAAATTAAAGAAACAAAAAAGTCAAGATTACTAATAAGGAAATATTCGTCTCCGCCTCATTGTATTGTAGGGAAAAAATGGTTTTTAGTGAAAGAGAGAAAAAAATGTGAGTTAA